TTCTGGATAGCATAAAGGGATACTTGAATAAGAGTTTTTCAATGAAAGACCACGATGAAGCTGCTTACATATTGGGCATTAAGATCTATAGAGATAGATCAAGACGCTTAATTGGACTTTCACAAATCACATACCTTGACAAAGTTATGAATAAGTTCAAAATGGATCAAGGAAAGAAAGGGTTCTTGCCTGTGTTACAAGGTGTGAAGTTGAGTAAGACTCAATGTCCGACCACCGCAGAAGATAGAGAGAAAATGAAAGATGTTCCCTATGCTTCAGCCATAGGCTCTATCATGTATGCAATGTTGTGTACCAGACCTGATGTGTGCCTTGCTATAAGTCTAGAAGAGAGGTACCAAAGTAATCCAGGAGTGGATCACTGGACAGCGGTCAAGAACATCCTAAAATACCTGAAAAGGACTAAGGATATGTTTCTCGTATATGGAGGTGACAAAGAGCTCATCGTAAATGGTTACGTTCATGCAAGCTTTGACACTGATCCGGACGATTCTAAATCACAAACCGGATACGTGTTTTTACTAAACGGTGGAGCTGTCAGTTGGTGCAGTTCTAAACAAAGCGTCATGGCGGGATCTACATGTGAAGCGGAGTACATAGCTGCTTCGGAAGCAGCAAATAAAGGAGTTTGGATGAAGGAGTTCATATCCGATCTAGGTGTCATACCTAGTGCATCGGGTCCAATGAAAATCTTTTGTGACAATACTGGTGCAATTGCCTTGGTGAAGGAATCCAAATTTCACAAGAGAACCAAGCACATCAAGAGACGCTTCAATTCCATTCGGGATTTAGTCCAAGTGGGAGACATAGAAATTTGCAAGATACATACGGATCTGAATGTTGCAGACCCGCTGACTAAGCCTCTTCCACGAGCAAAACATGATCAGCACCAAGGCTCCATGGGTGTTAGAATCATTACTGTGTAATCTAGATTATTGACTCTAGTGCAAGTGGGAGACTGAAGGAAATATGCCCTAGAGGCAATAATAAAGTTATTATTTATTTCCTTATATCATGATAAATGTTTATTATTCATGCTAGAATTGTATTAACCGGAAACATAATACATGTGTGAATACATAGACAAACAAAGTGTCACTAGTATGCCTCTACTTGACTAGCTCGTTGATCAAAGATGGTTATGTTTCCTAACCATAGACATGAGTTGTCATTTGATTAATGGGATCACATCATTAGGAGAATGATGTGATTGACTTGACCCGTTCCGTTAGCTTAGCACTTGATCGTTTAGTTTGTTGCTATTGCTTTCTTCATAACTTATACATGTTCCTATGACTATGAGATTATGCAACTCCTGTTTACCGGAGGAACACTTTGTGTGCTACCAAACGTCACAACGTAATTGGGTGATTATAAAGGTGCTCTACAGGTGTCTCCGAAGGTACTTGTTGGGTTGGAATATTTCGAGATTAGGATTTGTCACTCTGATTGTCGGAGAGGTATCTCTGGGCCCTCTCGGTAATGCACATCACTCAAGCCTTGCAAGCATTGCAACTAATAAGTTAGTTGCGGGATGATGTATTACGGAACGAGTAAAGAGACTTCTCGGTAACGAGATTGAACTAGGTATTGAGATACCAACGATCGAATCTCGGGCAAGTAACATACCGATGACAAAGGGAACAATGTATGTTGTTATGCGGTCTGACCGATGAAGATCTTCGTAGAATATGTAGGAGCCAATATGAGCATCCAGGTTCCGCTATTGGTTATTGACCAGAGACGTGTCTCGGTCATGTCTACATAGTTCTCGAACCCGTAGGGTCCGCACGCTTAAAGTTCGGTGATGATCGTAATTAGGGTTTTTGTGTTTTGTTGTACCGAAGGTTGTTCGGAGTCCTGGATGTGATCACAGACATGATGAGGAGTCTCGAAATGGTCGAGACATAAAGATTGATATATTGGAAGCCTATATTTGGATATCAGAAACGTTCCGGGTGAAATCGGGATTTTACCGGAGTATCGAGGGGTTACCGGAACCCCCCCATGGGTTATTGGTCCTACATGGGCCATAAGGGAGAAGAGGAGGGCCGGCTAGGGTAGGCCGCACGCCCCCTCCCCCCTAGTCCGAATAGGACAACGAATGGGGGGTGGCGCGCCCCTTTCCTCTTTCTCCCTTCCTCCTTCCTTTTCCAACAAGGCAAGAGGGGGGAGTCCTACTCCCGGTTGGAGTAGGACTCCTCCAGGCGCACCCATAGGGCCGGCCGCACCTCCCCCTCTCCCTCCTTTATATACTGAGGCAAGGGGGCACCCCATGACACACAAGTTGATCCTCGTGATCGTTCCTTAGCCGTGTGCGGTGCCCCCTTCCACCATATTCCACCTCGGTCATATCATAGTGGTGCTTAGGCGAAGCCCTGCGTCGGTAGAACATCATCACCATCATCACGTCGTCATGCTGACGAAACTCTCCCTCAATGTTTTGCTGGATCGGAGCTCGAGGGACGTCACCGAGTTGAACATGTGCAGAACTCAGAGGTGCCGTACGTTCGGTACTTGGATCGGTCGGATCGGGAAGACGTACGACTATTTCCTATACGTTGTGTCAACGCTTCCATTGCCGGTCTACGAGGGTACGTTGACAACACTCTCCACTCTCGTTGCTATGCATCACCATGATCTTGCGTGTGCGTAGGAATTTTTTTGAAATTACTACGTTCCCCAACGGTGTCGGCCTCTTTAGTTCGTCATTTCCTGATATCAACTAATTAATTACTCCTTTATTCATTTTCTTTGCCGGCGGGTAGGACTTGGCAAAAGTTCATCAATACGGTTTCAGGCGAATGGAAACAAAAGTTGCATTTGTTTCGACCTAGGGTAAGTAATTAAGTATAGTACCAGCTAGCTACCATATCTTTAACTCTAGTTTCAATATCATTAATTATCATGCTTGATTAATTATTATCTGATTGATTTATATTCTCATAAAGGCCATGAAGTAGGCGTCGGGGACTGATTTATGTGCATACTATGTTTGCGAGAACATTCGTATGATGGCGTCCAAAAAGATCAAATCTGATAGACAGTTGTGGGTACGTTTGCCAGAACACTACTCACAATTTTTACATCATTATCGATATCTAATCACACAACTAATACATGGATATTGATCTCCTTCTTAAAAGTTCAATGAGGTGAGGGATAAGCTCCTACCAACGGATCGCGTAGGAGTAATTCAAGAGGAAATAGCAGGATTTTTGCTCGACCAGGTCATAAATCCCAAAGGAGAATACCATTACCCGTTACCGCAGTAATGCCTCCATGTAGGAGAAATTATATATATATACCAGTATATATATACATGTGTATGTGTGAATGGTGGTGCGAGACATTCGATAATATATATGATCGGTTCTACGAGAAATTCTATTTATATATATGCATTATGTGTACAATATATAGTATCGTAAAATACCAGCAAATGAAAAAAAATTAAATGAAAAACACAAAATTAAAGGAAAAAGAAATCATGAACTCAAAACCCCCCAAACCTTTTAGTACCGGTTGGTGTTACCAACCGGTACTAAAGGTCTCCCCGCCCTCGGCGCTGGCTCGTGCCACGTGGTGGCCCTTTAGTTGCAGTTCGTGTTGAACCGGTATTAAAGGGGGGGACTTTTAGTCCCCATCCTTTAGTGTCGGTTACAGAACCGACACTAAAGGGCCTTACGAACCGGTGATACAACCCGGTTCTGCACTAGTGTACGAGATACGCCGGATATAGAACCGACATTGGTGCTTTCATTGAGAGCCTGCTGGGTGATCGTCGCGGATCGATGGGATGATCAAGTGATATTTTTACAGTAGGATGATCAGGTGATATTTTCCTTGCAAGTAACCGTGAAGGGATTGACAACCTCTTTATCGTGTTGGGCGCAAGTATTTGTTTATTTGTGTAGGTGCAATCATTGGTGACTTGTGTGTTTCTCCTACTCGATTGATACCTTGGTTCTCAACCGCAAGAAATACTTATTTTTACTTTGCTGCATCACATGTTTCTCTTTAAGAAAAAACTAACGCAAGCTCAAGAAATAGCAGTTTCCCTAAGAGATCTTGTATGAGAAAAGAGAGATTGGGTTGGTACATTACTACATGCGTGCATGTGAAGGACAGTGACGTGGGTGGGACCTCCACCGTATTTGGTTTGATATTCGTTTCGTATAGGAAAAGAATGAGGAGAAACATGTGGCCCATGCGCCGATCTTCAAGCATTCAACAATGATAGATTTCTTATCGGTACGCACTTTTTTACCGGTAAAAATTACTTCACGTTCACGGACAGAATGGGTTGTGCTCGATTCCCTTCAAGTTTCTTTTAGTTTCATTTACTTATAAAGATTAAAACAATTGCCATTAAAATGGTTGCATGCCATACATCGATGCAAAGGCTAGAGGCATTTGTGGCCCTTCGGGAAAAAAACAGTGATGGTATCATTCATGGCAAGGACTGCTAGACTCTTAATAGAAGTAATTTCCCCGCGGAGAATTACTTTTATCGGGATCGTTCATTTTTCGCCCGCAGCATCCTTTATATAAGTAATTTCCTCCTTTTTAATGAAAAGACAACGCTCCTGCAGGTTGCTCCTTGAAAGGATTAAATTAAAAGACAATCTGCCTTACAAAGTTGTGGAACAACACTAAACATGATTGCATGCATACATCGATGCAAAGGCCAAATGCATTTTTGGCTCTTATCAAAGAGAAAACAATGATGACATCATTCATGGCAAGGACTGCTAGACCCTCTCAGCTTGTCAGTTCAATTCTACTACTACTAGCTAGCTAGCTACTCGAACGGTCGAACCTTCTAGTCAGAAGGAATGAATTGCCCTGATTTATGCGCAGGCCTTGCCTTCCATTTATACTCAGGCAGGGTACAAAATACAATCCAGTTAGGATTTATCTACAACCACGAGCTGATCCTAACAATCTAGGGCTAGGCTATAGACTCGTTTAACACTTCTTTACCTTGGCGCTACCTCCGTCACGGTGTGCGAAGCAACGACCATGGACGTGGAGTGGATGTCCTTGTTGTCCCGGAGGACGTAGCCCGGCGGCGTGATCTCTTTCTCCCTCAACCGGACATCCTCCCTCTCCAGCATCTCCAGCACCCGCGGCATCGACGGCCGCCGCAGCGGCGTCGCCTGCGTGCACAGCAGCGCCACCTTCATGTACCTCACAGCCTCCTCCTCATTGCAGCCGTCTTCCATCGCCGGGTCGATCATGTCCCTGAGGTTGGCCGCCTCGTAGAGCTCCCACACCCTCTCCACCAGCACCTTGTCCCCCTCGTCGGATAAATGGAAGCTCCTGGAGCTGCTCTTGCCGGTGACGGTCTCCAGCAGCAGCACCCCGAAGCTGTAGACGTCGGCCTTCTTGGTGAGATGGCCGTACAGCGCGTACTCCGGCGCGAGGTACCCCGCGGTCCCCGCGACGCGGGTGCTGACGTGCGTGGCGGCGTCCGGGAAGAGCTTGGCGAGGCCGAAGTCGCCGATCTTGGCGCCGTAGCCGGCGTCGAGGAGGACGTTGCTGGCCTTGATGTCCCTGTGCACGATGGGGCCGGATGCCATCTCCTCGTGCAGGAACGCCAGGCCCCTAGCGACGCCGACGCAGACGCCGCGCCTGATCGCCCAAGTGAGCCTGGAGGGGTCGCTGGCGGAGGCGAGGAGGGCGCCGTGGAGGCTGCCGTTGGGGAGGAGCTCGTAGATGAGGATGCGGTGGCGGCCCTCCACGCAGCAGCCCAGCAGGGACACCAGGCTGGGGTGCTCCACGTTGGCGATGACGTCGATCTCGGTGAGGAACTCCCTGGTGCCCTGCCGGGAGTGCGCGGACAGCACCTTGACCGCCACGTCGCCGCTGCCGTCCCGCAGCGCGCCCTTGTAGACGGCGCCGAAGCCGCCTCGCCCGATGTGGTTGCTCCGGTGGAAGTTGTTGGTCGCCGACCGCAGCTCCGCGTAGGAGAAGAGCTTGATCTTCTTCTCAGATGACAGTCCTGAAGCCAAAGGTTAGTCAATTCCATGAATGGCAAGTAATGTGAGGAATGGGAAACTGTTGCTTACTGCCCATGGAACGGGAGTAGAGATCGGAGGCGTGTTTCTCTTCCTTGTTGGAGACGCGGAAGCAGCAAGAGCAACAAGGCATGGCGACTCGATCATATAATACACACAGCACCAGAGAGAGTTCCTTCCTAGCTCCTGTATGGAGGAGAAGAAGCCGGTGATGACGAGTGATCAGACACGGAGGAGAAGAAGAAGCTGGTTGAATTGCCGCATCAGGAAAAGTCGGATGTAATAATAATATGAAGCTCTCTTCCACGACCGGCCGGCCGAGACGGAGAGTGACAGAAAATGACGCCTAGCTAGGACTAGGCGTGCTTTTAGGAGGCGTTGTGTATGAACGGGGGCAGCATTCAGCAGCCTGCTATGACATATTTTGCTTTGATAGCACTAGTATATGCACTAGATTAAATGGTGGCGCGCGACGTTGACACGCAGGTAATTTCCATTTCAGATGGCCGACATATAGTCAGTTGACCTGCACACACATGTAGATAATTTGCAGTGTAGAGTAGATTTCAGATGAATCATTAGACGGCCGGTCCACTCCAATCTCCCTCATCCATCATCCGCAAAAACAAAAAACAAAAGCAAAAAAATCTCCCTCATCCATCTAAACCCACCAGACCCCTTGGGTTTGAAAGAGTTAAATTATTACTTCGGGTAGTCTCACTAACGATATTTTGTTCTAGTCTCTGTTGACCACCAGCACGTTTTCTTAGGATTATTCACATAGCAGCCACACGAGACACGACACGACTACTTGTACCACCTAGTATTTGGTTTCCAACCCCATTCGGTTGCTTTACACCAGTGCTCACATCAGCATGATGATCGCATTTCATCATTGCTAGACTTCCGTTGTACTACTACCTAGCATTGATATAGGTTGAACCGTTCTCTTTTTCTTTTCTTTTTTGCGGGATATAGGTTGAACCGTCAGTCATGGAGCAACATCCACCATCCATCTGGTATCCAATTGCCATCCCCATCCCCATCACAAAGAACTTCATCGACACTACTAGTAGTAGAGGTCTTTGCCACCGTAGCCAGGCATGCCTTCATTCCACCTAACAACGCAGTTAATTAATAGTAGTAGTATATAGTGCGTATTATTATGGTCAAAGCCATTCACCCAACCAGCTGCCTCTGGTAACCCTACACTACTAAAGTCGATCAATGCCGAGAAGCTGGGTCGAATCAAGGCCCCTGCGTGAGCCTCTGCAGCTGGCTCGTGTCGCCCAGCGTCTCCATGAGCAGCGGGGGAGCGTACTGCGCCTCCCCGTCGTGCTCCTCCGCGTCCTGGCAGAAGGACAGGATTATCGTCTCCACCGACGTCTCCACCACCCCGAAGAAGAGCTGCGCCACCACGTACCCAAGCGCCCAGCACAGCTGACAACCAAAATGTACACATATGTCATGCCGGAGATAAGTTAAGTTCAGTTATGCATGCATCTAGGACGGATAGGTGAGTGCGGTTTTCGGCCGTATTTCGAAAGGACACCGCTTGCTTACCAGCACGGGGAAGAGCGGGGACGATATCTTGTTGTGAGCAGACCTGTACTTGTGGGTGTCCAGCATGAGGAACGCGAACAGCGCGCTGGACAGGCTCACGCACAGCTTTCCGAGGTAGAGGATCACGTCCCCGATGACGTTCACCTTACCGATGCGCAGTATGTTGTTCATTATCAGCCCGGTCGCGAGCTCGGAGGCTTTGCAGAACCCTTTCCCTGTAACGGCAATCTTCACCGGCAGTTCGCGGTGTCAAGAAACCGATTTGTATCGGCGCAATTCTCATCAAAGCCACACAAGACAGTTGTAACAAGTACAGCGAGGAGGACTGTTGGTACTTACCACGATATAAGCATTCCGGTTCACTGACTTGATGGTCCAGTCTATGCAGCCCAAGCAGCAGTGAGATGAGGATGACACTGTCTTCCCCAAGCGGCTTTCACCAGTTGAATCAACCCCCTTCAGCCTACGGCGGAGCGATTTAAGTATACACCGCACCCACTCCACGCTGGATACGATCAGTGAACCTAGAGCCACAGATCCAAGGCTGTAGCGCAGCAAACGCTTCACGGAGGACACCACGGTATGAAATGGTATGTCATGCTGCAAAACAACAATGTGCCACACAATCAGTCGGATGGAAAACACTGCCTTCCAATGTTAAAACATGACAATTAACTGGAGTTATTTGCCAGTCTAAGGTTCGTGTGCGGTGCTTGCCGATATTTCACCACGCGCCCAGTAGTATGAAGCAACTGATCCAGCAATTACGGTCGAAGAGCATGCGATGAAGAATTGTGTTGCCCAGTAACAGCCAAACAGGTGGAAAAGAATCGCAATTCCAATATGAGGGGTGTAATGGACACTGTACCCGCAACAGCTGTCACAATTTACTTTTCCCAGCTTGAGATCAAATGAGCAGCACTCTGCATTGCAATCATTTTGTAGAACTTGACCAGAGCTGAAAAGATACAGTGTCGCCGCAAACCAGAACATATAGATGATAGCAAGGGCGAAGTATGGTACGACCGGAAAGATGATGAGTGCATGGACTTCACCAATGACCTTTGCAGCCACCTACATACAGTTCATCCTGATGAGCGCTCAGAAAATACAAGCAAGAAATAGACAACACACATAAGCTAGCACCCATGCTTTTGCAAAATGCGAGCTGTAATCCCGCACAGCTTATTGCGGGAAATGGTGTGCATGTGAAGCTAGTGGATTCAGCACCATACGCACCTTTAGGACGGTTGTGGATGTCGCTATCAGTATACGCCGAACAATAGCTATTGAAGTCAGGAAAGCAATGATCATTACCACTGTCATCAATACAGCAGCAGCATGAAGGTGGTTTATTTCCTGGTGAAGAGATGAATCATGGGATAACGAAAAGTGTAGCAAAGATAGTGTTAAAAATAATAACAACAGGAGGTACAAGCATACCCGTCCACCTATGCTGACATATGGATCACTTGGACCAATCACAACAGTTAAGGGATCATTGCCAATCCAGCCAGCTGAGTACATAAAATATTCCAAACATATGAGATTACGTATAAGATGATGTCTCCTGATAAATATCACATGACGCCACTTTGCTACCTATAACAGTTTGTGGTACTTATATTTAGAAGTTGGTAAGCATCCTACCTTTTATATAGAAGAACATCGTGACTGATACTACAAGGGCATTGAAAAGGATCACTGTTATCCATGGCATACCAGCAACAAAATATCGGATCATCGCTAACCATATCAAAGATAGGAAAAGAGGGAGTAATCCCCCACAAACGATTAACACAGGCCAAGACTTCCCAATATCTGCAACATATCTCTGCAAAATAAGAAAAAAAATATTAGTTCCAAGAATCTACATATACACAAGCAAGCATGTACATAGCTCTCAATGTTTTTTGCAGGAGCATATCTGTCAAATTGAATCTAACAAATGTAACCAAGTAATATCAATCACATGAGGCTGCTACTTTGTTTTAGCAATACATGCGGCTGATAGTGTTTCTTTACTGACGGAACATTTAATGTCGTGTAACTTGCAGTGAAATAATGTTGACCCATAGAAGAAAAGCATGCTTTAACTATATATGGACAGACATTTTGGATAAGAACTTAGGAAGAATATATTTCTTGTGAAACAGATAAATGGACCGATAGTGCAAGTAGTACTGAGACAAACCTTTAAGACAGAAGATTTATAGTTGATGCTATTGTGAATTGTCTTGTCTATTAGCATGTTCTCATCAATGCTAACACCACCCATCTGCTGCCAATGCTTCAGAGAAACATTGGATGGCCTTGCAATAAACTGGCAGCTCCAGTAGACTGCAGTGACAGAAAGAGATCAAAATTAGCGCATGTACTTCACGTTCTCACAAATTGGCAGGATCTTGCTGAGTATCAGAGGACTTGATATTCAATTATTCATGCGAGACTTACCATTTATACTCGGAAATATGATGGGGTAACACGGACCCTGCAACTGAAGAGAACTGTTCCTCATATCTGGTGTGAGATACTCGAAGTAATCATAGTCCCTGTCGATCCAATCATCGACAGAGAGCCGTATGTCGCCTTCCGGATAATCACAAACAAAGTTCAGCCCGTCTTCCGCAGGATAGGGGCATTCCATCAGGCAGATGGCCTTAGCATCAGCTAGATCATTTGTGCTATTTTTGAGCCCACTTTGGTACACCTGGTTGGGGTTCACCCAGTAACGAACATCCAGCTCACTCAAATCTGGGTCACCGTGCTTGCTGCCACATATGTTCCCTTTGTAGTCCAGTCCGTAAGTCAGCCTGCATGATCAGAGCAGAGAAAAACCAAATATAGATGTCTTCACCAACAAAGACCACTATAAATTCCAAAAACAATGAGCAGCGGCACACGAAATGTTTGTAAGAACGACGTTCTATTCATCTTCCACCCTGTATAATCACCCCTTCCTTTGTGGGGACCTCATGTTCGTAGGAGCACCCAACTACAGCAACAAATCTCTGCATCTCCTTAAATGGGTTGCAAAGATAAATAAATTGTGAAGGAGGGCAATGAAGGCAACAGACCATTTTAAGCATCACTTATTACTTGATGAGTGTCAACAATTGGAGGAGAAAATGTAAGCAAGGATTCATCACCTTATTTGGCTAAACCGACAATCCTACAGTTAGTGAGACTAGGGGTTCATTGCATCCAGTGGAGGAAAGCTCCACAATAGGCAACAAGCACTTCATTTGCATTTCCCACAAGCTATTTCTACTGTTAGCTGGAGGTAGTAAACATCAAAAGTGACTAAGGAGCAAAAAGTGGAAGAGCAGGAGACAAGTTTTAGCCCCTAGGCTGTACCCATCCTCGAAAGATCTAATCTAAATATGCGAGAAATTGGCAAATGTGGCAGACCTTCACCGACGGAATCCACCCAAAAAGGCAAAATTAATCGCAGCTAGGCGGGCACCGACAGCGGCGGAAAAATAAATGCAGAAGAAAAAAGGGAAGGTGGGGAATGGAGCGACCTGAGCGGGCTGCCCTGGTTGAACCCGAAGCTGGAGTTGACAATCATGGCGACCCAGAAGGCGGCGAAGAGGGCGAGGAACGGCAGGTCCCGGCACTTGCGGTCGTGGCGAATGATGCCGGCTGCGGCGTCGTCTCCTCCTTTTCCTCCCCCGGCGCCGGCACCGGAGGCGTCGCGGCCGAGGGGCCCCCGCATTATGCCCTTGCCGCAGCTCAGCTCTTCTGAATTGGAGTAGGTCGCCGGCTCGCCGCCTCCTCCTTCCTCCTCGGGTGGTCACAGGTGAAAGGAGCGAGGGGGGGAAAGTGCTGCTGCCGCTTGCTAGCTTCCGCCTCACTGCGACTGGCCTGCCACAGTGCCACTGCCAGTGATATCGCAACTCGAAAGCGGATTCGGGGTTTACGTAACCTCGCGGCGGAAAGCGGTGGCATCACGGTTTACGTGAATGAGGTGGGAAAGCGGTGGGGCCGTGCGCTGCGTCACGTGAAGTCGTGACGGCTCCCCGCCGTCCGCCGCTTCTGCAGTCCAGACCAGATCGCCCTCCGCCGCGAAGCGATGGTGAAGGCGGTCGTCGCCGACGAGGCGCGCATCAAGGCCTTCGAGGACGCCGTCGCCTCCTCTGGCGTCCTTCGATCGCAGGTGGCTTCCCTTCCTCGTCGTGCTCGTCCTATGGCATCTCAGGCAGAGGCAGGCCGCCGTCGCCGTGCCGTGGAGGTTTGGTTTGATTTGGTTTCATCGGTTCTTCCGCGTGCAGGTGGGGCTGGTGGTCGGGAAGCTCAGCGCCTCCTCCGACCGCGCACTCGTCTACTCCCTGCTCCCCACGCCGCCCACCGATGCCGGCGAGCCCGCTTGCTCCCTCCGGGCCGCCGCCCCCTCAGCTGGCAAGGCCAAGCCCAAGGGCGGGAAAGGTGGTGCAGGGGCTTCTAACGACGCGCCGCCGACGCTCCAGTTCGATGTCGACTGGGTCGCCGAACACGCCCGACAGGTCCAATGTCCAGCCCTCACTTGTTACAGTCGACAAACCTCGGACGATACTAATATCTTCAGCTGTAGATAACAGTTGAACATTTTTTTATCATTAGTACTCTCCTGTAGGTTTCAGACCTTAATGTGGCAGTCCCAACAATTTCTGTCCAGTTCGAGTTGCTTGCTCAATTACATTGAAAATTCGGCCATATTTGATTCTTTTGCTCAAGATCATACTACGGTAGCACAACTGTATTTGGTCATGTCAACTCGGAATAACTACATATTTGATAATACTGGTGAATCTTCTTACGGTCTGCAGGTGTCGAGGATGCTCCTTGGAGGAATGAGTGTCATGGGTATCTATATATGGTCTTCTGAAGGCTCCTTCAAAGCTACTCCTTCTGCTGTTTTATCACAGGTACCAACATTTGGCCTGCTGTTTCATCACAGGTGCCAATAATGTCCTGAAGAGTGGCACTAGTGTTGTAAACTTGCTCATACACGGGTTTGCTATTTGGAATTGAGGATATGTATACAAATTTATATGTTAACAAAACAAGTTTCTGAGAAGATATAATGGAACTCAAGTTCCAGTTTTTGTCCATAGCACCATAGAATGGAGAGGATTTTACCAAGTTAGGCTTGGTGAATGCTACGTATTAGATGTTCCATTCCATGTTATATACTTTGTGATGAGAACAAAAATAGAAAACAATGCTAGAAAATGATCAACGCCTGTTTAATAAAATAGATATCCTCATCTTGGCCTATCACTTTTATCTTTCAAATGAAGCTTGGCCATTAACCAACCTGATTTACCGACCTATTTCTGTTATCTTTCTGTACCTGGCCCTTCTACCGCCTAGGTTTTGTGGTCTTTGCTTAAAGAATTTTGGCATAATATCAACTTGAACAAACGGGAAGGCTACCTTTACCTTGTAAACTGCCTTTCACAATGCCATAGTGACCTTATTATTTAGAACACTGAGTACCAACTTCTTTTTTGATTCATTTGTTGAATTCTGGGGTGGGGGCACATTCTGCTGGCATTTGTTTTAGGATCTTTTGCCATTGTTGTCTGATCTTTTAGTGATGACCTGTTGATTTTTTTTTCTCTGTACTACCCTACTAGGACATTTTCATTGTACAGATTATCGACTGATGTTATTTCCCAGGTTATCAGAGTGGTTTCTCAGTCAGTTCCCTGGTACGGCAGTGACTTTGATGAGAGGCTGCTCCTTCATCTCTCTTACAGCCCAAGAAGGTGCGTATTATTTTTACTCTAGTACTTTGGTTTCCTTCCCCCTCCCCCGATAAATCAATGTATCATAATCTTCTTAGCACATTGATCACACTGGACCTGCCGAACTTGGATTTCGACAACTCTTATTTGTTTTTTCTTGCTTGTTTAACATTGATTGTCCTAATTTCTGTATGTCAATAAATGGTATTGCCCTTGGAAATCTGTCGTGCTCAGATACTGTTAATACACTGATAGGTTATAACGTAATTTTGATGTGTTACAGGTGGGCCTGTCGCATATGTGAGATGGCATCAGGAAGTCTAAGGCCGTGTGACTTCAAATATAGCAAATTATTAGCTTCGCTTCAAACTTTCAGATGCACATACAATTTTGAGACGAGGTACTTGCAATGCTGCCTGATACTAGTAGCTAAGCAATCCTTGTGTCATTTATGTCTCAAAGTCAGAAGGGGTGTCATTTTAAGTTAACTAGATTTTTATTAAATATATTAAAATACAGAAACAAGCCTTCCCCGGACCCTGCGCAAGCAGGAGCTACGTGCTCCAAGCTGCCCCTTTTTGTTATTAAAATTATAAAATACAGAAACGACCAACTGTGCTTACCAGTTACCAGTCATAGTCGCATGTGCTGTAGGCTGTAGCAAATCCATGAATTTCATGTTCCGCATTCTGGACTGATTACTTACAATACGTACTTCCATAGATTGACAGTTGTTCAAGCTGAGCCTTTTAAGAAAGTTATTTCGAAGGCAATCAGTCATCTCACAAAGGAAGTGCAGAATGCCAAAGCCTTAATTGATGGAGATCTGGTAAATTAGAACCACTTAACCTTTGTTTCAGTTGAATAAGCACAACGAATTCCAAGCTATTTCATGGTGTAATGTCTAATCTTGTTTGTGTTTAACACCCACTTATTACTCTTAATATTTTCAACTAGTTTTCGGATGATATGACCATCACTTCAGAGGGCCCACACGAAGTCGATTTGCTTGTACCTTTCAAGAACAATTTGCCTGCCGGAGGTGCTCAGCTAACGCTGTTTCTGTTGTATTGTATGGTTGATTTCTCTTGATATAACTATGTGAGCCTAATAGTTAGTGCTTACACCAAAGAATGCAGTTTAGAGGGGGTTGCTGGGTTGCTTCTCTTTGCTGGATCTGTCAGTGCGTTGGCATACTTAGGCCCAAAAGAATCTATTTCGGAAGCTATATCTGATCTGAAGGTATTAATGAGATAAAATTTCCACTGTTATTGGCTTATCTCTGTGCCTTGTATTATTTTCCTTGTTACCTATGTAGTCTCCATTTTGTTATAATAGCTTCACATACAACTGTGCAAGCCACGAGCTTGGAGCCAAACCACCAATTTTATACTAAATATCAATTGAAGTAAAAAGAACTTACAATATTGAAAATGTGAACAGGCATTTTGGTTGGCATTTCTGTACTGACTTGGGAATTTTGAACCCTTTGTTTAACTATATATAGCATGATTATCTGGTGTCTGTAATGTAGAACTGTAGATTTTTTTTTGTTTTGATTTTCTAGTGATGGTGCTTTTCATTTGTACTGAATTTATTAGCAAGTTGGCACTATCGCCTTATTGCCCCTCATTAGTTGAATTGACTCTCCAAAGAGTTAAACATGATAAATCTATCCTGAATGGTTTATTTATTGCCATTTTTATAAATGCAGTCATTTTAACTTGTTGTTAAATTTGTGCAAGCATATTTTAATGGTTAGCAAACTAATAGTATTTTATGCTGCCTTTCTACCTATCCTACTCCGTATTAAGGTGGACATCATTGCGAGCCTACGAAGCAGATTAGATATCATCCTTGATGAGGCAGATGATGACTCTACAACTAATGATATGGAGAATTCAGCATCTCAGAAGGTTACCCAAGTTAATTTTCATGAGCTGAGGTATTTCTTATCTTCTAGGAATATTTTTGTTTTGAATAGAATGATAAGTACACCCACCATATTTTACCTCTAGCCTACCCCAACTTGTTTGGGACTAAAGGCTTTGTTGTTGTTGATAAAAGAACCCTAAACCCTCCTTTGCTAATGTTTCTACATCGTATTAAACTGCAGACAGTTTTTACCCTCTGATTGTAAGGGGAAAACAAATATGTCACATTTCTTTATTTCTTCGGAGCATGTCTGTGATGCTTTTTTTTGTCTACGCAACTGATCACATCCTTTTCTTTTTGCAAACAGAGAACCTTATAGTTTCTCATTCCCTAGAAGGATTCTGATTCCTTGGTTAGCTGGCTCCTATATTTGTGACTACTTGCAACAATCAGAAACGACAAAGGTGCTTATGTTCTCTCCTAGCTATATAGTCTGGATGCAAGCCCAAAATACAATATGTTTGACTTGACGTGCCCTTGTATGTGCACGTTACCTGCAGGATGCAATGGAGCGTTGCAAGGAAGTGATATCACTGGAAACAGAAGTAGAGAACTCAATCCTAGAACCAGAAACCGCAGCATCTACTGCCACACTAGAATCGTTTTGGGATGTGGTGCCTGGAGCTTCATCACGTGCTCGTGCAGGGCCTGGTCCGAAAGATGAGCGCCCTGAACAGGCGACGGGTTCGGGGAGAACACAAGACAACAGTTTCAGCATCCTAGCTGCCTTGTTTGTGCTCCTGGTTGCTCTTCTAGTTGGATTTATGTTTGCGTTCCCTGCCAATTCGAAAACCTGAGTAATTCATGCTGCATCAGCCGAACCAAGATGTTGACATGTTTTGTGTATCTTATATTTTGTCCAAACCTCAGCTGTGGATGTGAAAAGTGTAGAGTTTCTTTCGTCGTGAACAGTTTGTAGGTGCTGCACATACATGAACATGATCCATCCTTTTCGATGACAGGGACAATTGTGTGGAGTATTTTTGAGTGATGCAAGCCCTGCCGTCGTCTTCATTGTTTGGTCATTGAGATGTGTGATGCTAGGCTAGGCTCACCCACAGCATTTGATGATCGTGCAGAGACGAATAACTCACTCTCTTTTCCAGTTTGCGCCCACTAAATTATGAGAAAAGGCATCTGGCCTGTGACCAGATGGACGGCTAGTACTCAATCTTTCTCCTGTTTCGGCATCGGATGTCTTCTCTGTTGGATTAATCATTTGTGCTGATGCTTTACTAGACAAGTGAGTGTTGGCCTTGGGGAGTAGGCATCTGACTGAAGAGAATAGATAGAAGTCAACCAAAACAGACAACTATGTTTCTCAGGTTGGGCTTGATTTTGACACCACAAAATATCTCTGTCCGCAGCATACAAATTTATACATTTGCTACCATGAGGAAGACGCCATTAAACTAGAGCAAGCAAGCAGTATTTTGTGATACATCAACCGGTAGCTTGCTTATAGATGCATGCAGGCAGCCAGACGTTTGACTCTGGCAGGAGTAAATTGCAGGGAAGTATCACACTTGGGACAGTTGTAACGGGTCAGTATCACTATTAAGATTTTTTGCAAGTCAGTACCAAGTTTGAGGCTAGTCGTTGCAATACGGGCTAAGTGGCGTATAATGTTGTATTAACGTTGTATCTGACAACCCGGCCCCACCAGTCAGTTGACAAGCCGGCGAACCGGCTCGGTCGGTCTTCCTGGTCGAACCCAACTCACTCACTCGCCACGAACCCTAGCCCTCGCCTCGCTCGAGCTCTCGCCCGCTGATTTGCCGCCGACCGCCGCGCATTCCCCCGCCGCCACCGCGCCATGGTTCACGAGGATGAGAGCAGCGACAACTACTCCAGCCTGCAGTACATAACTCCTCCTCTAACGACATCATGTTGTACCGGGTGAGTGGTGTAGCTAGGGTTAGGGTTAGGGTTCCTGCTTTGGGGATTTGATCTTTGATTTGGGAGGGTTTGGTTCATTTTGCTCCTGTAGATCCCTGTCAGCATTGAAGACCAAGACTACATGGGCATTGAGACTGGAACCATTGTTCCCTGCCAGCACCATGGGCTGCCATGTGAGAGGCGTGTAGCCTTTGAGGGATTTGAGACGGGCAGGAGGTTCTTAGCCTGTCCTCTGAAAGTAAGATTCTGCACTTTCTATGTTCTGTGTGTTAAAATGAGTTGGTAGTAGCCCCGCAGTATTTTTATTTGGTAGTAGTTTGGTCCAAGTTAGATTATGTTCTTGTGATTGCCATTCTTTATCCAATTACTAGTACTGATGCACTGATGCTGGTCATTGGAGTAGGCATCTATTAATTTAATATGTGGCCAAGAGCTTAGTTTCCAGTGCACAACATTGTTTAAGCTTTGATCCTGATAGTTTAGTGCTTTATGAGTGCTTTATAGTTGCTGTACTTTTTGTTATGATTAAAAAATGTGGCTATGTGATTTGGTTGCAGTGCACATGTTGTGATGTTCTTCAGTTAGTTAGTTCTGTTGTTCTTTAGTTCTTTACTTAAGACCATATTCTTTAATTGTAATATTTAGTGTAGTTGTGATGTTCTTTACAATCATATCCTTTAACAAATATAGGTGCTGGATATACTGCAGGAAGGTCAGAACTGTGGTTCTGTTGAATGGGTTGACCCAGAGTGGCCTCCTACAATGCAGAATGCATTGTTGGAGCTATGGGAAATGTATTAAGACAGTAGGAGTGATAGGAGGAAGGATAACCTGGAGAGTTTACTCACTATTCACCATTTGACAGAAGAAAAAAATAAACTGGAGGCCAACTATGACAAATTAGTTGAAGATGTTCATCAACTGCTGAATGCCCAAGAGGATAGGGTGCTGGATTTCAGATATTTGCAGTCTAAGATGGAGAGTGCAGAGGGGAGGAAAGCTGAGGTGACCAACTCAGTTGTCTAAGATATGAAGACAAAGATGGAGAAGAAAGATGCAGAGATATTCAAGCTGCAAGAGAAGTATGCAGTCCTTATGAACCTAACAAAAGCCCAAGGCACTGTCATCAGGAACATGAAGTTCAACCATTTAAAAGAGAAGGAAGTGCATAGTGCAGCCATGAGAAACTTAAAGTTCCAGGTTGAAGAACTAACTAAGTCTGTGGAGAAGTTCACCCAAGAGAATCTGAAGCTGAAGCAGGTTGATGAACTCACTAAGTATCATGAAGAGCTCACCCAAGAGAATCTGAAGCTGAAGGATCACATTGGTGATCTGAAAAGGGACATGATAAGCTCATCCAAGAGAATCTCCAGTTGAAGGGTCACATGGGTGATCTGAAAAAGGGACATGACAAGCTCAGTAAAGATAGGGCTCAGCTCAAGCTTCAGATTGCTGATCTGTTGAAGGCAGAGGAGAAGAACAAGCAGAAGATGAAGGGGGTCCAGGCCATCTTGGATGAATGAACGAGATGAAGAGGCTGCTTAGCTGACCTTTTGTGAAGTAGTATCCATGGATCTGTTCTGTATGTGTGGTTGGATCTTTTAGTTTGAATTATGGTTCTGTAAGAATCTATTAAGTATGTTGAACTCCAGTTTGAATTATGGGTCTGTTAGAAGTTATGAACTATGTTGAACTCCAGTATGTTGTTGTAAGAATCTATTATGGTTATGTTTTGTGTGGATCTTTTAGTTGGAATTATCTTGCTTTCATAGATGCTTCATAGAATGGTGAAGTTAAGAAGTTTTATCATCTTTGTTTCATGGATGTAGTTAGATATATAGATAGAATGGAAAAGTTATATTGGGTCCCATCGCCGTCGACAACCCCTAAAGACTAGTACTTTGGCTATGTTGGGTTTCGTCGATGTCGACAACCCCTAAAGACTAAAAGTTTGGCTATGTTGGGTTCCATCGACGTCGGCAACCCCTAAAGACTAAAAGTTTGGCTATGTTGGGTTCCGTCGACGTCGACAATCCCTAAAAGACTAAAACTTTGGCTACCTTGGATTCCATCGATGTCGACAACCCCTAAAGACTAAAACTTTGGCTATCTTGGGTTCCATCGATGTCGACAACTCCTAAAG